ATATTTAACTGACTGCTCTTGAAATATATATATTTTAAATCATAAGGGTTGTATTTCACTGGTTAATGGAATATTACATAAGAAAACCTCTTCCATAACTTACAAGACTGAAAAAAAACCTTGCGGGTCCACATTAAAGACRCAGCTGGACTTTTTTTTCTCTTGCATTTTTTCCTTTGGATAGTTTCCACTGAAATTTTATGTCAGTKCTTTGTAATAAAATGAGGTCCACCCTAGTACACTTTCATGGGTGTGTTAGCATAAAGATTGCCTTAAGAGTGCAAGTTAAAAAGGAAAAAGCATCTACTTCTGCTAGGAAATATTAATACATAGAAACAAAACAAAATAGCATTTCTTTGCACACATCCTGCAACAGTGGTCCGAATACAGAAGTAAAAACAAACATTTGTTACAARGTCCAAATATGTGAGGAAATGACTCCTGGAGCACATGTTTTTCATTTCACCTTCRTGACCCTTGAATATTTCCTCTTTTTCCATTCTAACCACAGTAGCACGAAGGAGAACGCTGCGGGTTTCCTTCGCTGAAGTTACTCAAGCATTGAGCCACATTAAAAACAAAATAAAATAAAAAAAAGTTTAAAAGTGACTAACCCCAACGACACAAGCATTTTTAGTAAGAACAAGAACACCACAGAGTGATGATTCATCATAAGTCAGGCCCTGAAGCAAACAAGAAGGCAGCTCTTTCACTTCATTCATTGGATAAGATTTTGTTACACAAACTCTGTGGAGAAAAGTTTGTTTTAGTCTGTGGTAAGAGACCAAAGCTGTGCACTGCAATCTGAAATAAAAACAGCAGCAAGCAAGTATAAGACCCTTTCAACCCTGATGTGAATGATTCTTTAAAAATAAAACACATATCGAAGCCTACACTGAATTATCAACAATTTGTTGAAAACTTATCAGACTTCTTTTATCATTTACTTTTCTACTGTTGACTCAATACAGCTTCCAAGTCTTCATGTGCAAAACTATAAAAAATAAAGAGATTACACGGTCACATGAGCCAAGGCTCGTGCAAAATGTGGTAGTTATGATGTGGGCAATGAAATAATGTGCACAGCCTCGAATACAGTTTGAACACTAAAATCATGAYGCTGCAACAGAAAAATTTCCACCCAGTCACAAACCAGCATCTGGCATTCACAGCCCAGTGAGATGCTGGATTTCCATTAGATGTTATTTTTGATCAACTCTTTTAAGATGTTTACACTTRTTGTTTTACTTAAAATTTGAGTTTTTGTTCTGATAACTCAGTTCAGTCCAATTCTAACTTCAAATATTTTACCAGTCACAGTTAGAAAYTGTTCATCTAAAGCAGTGGTGTCAAAATCACTTTCACCAAGCGTGAGCGTTATGGTGGTCCTTATAGGACCTGTTGTTATTAGCTTTGATGTTTTGTGTTTAACTTCGACTAAACRCTGAACGCCAAAAAAACTGACATGCATTATGGGATATGTTTGTGGCCAACGCTGGCTGGCTTTAACCTCTTGAGCTTGTTTTTGATCTGGATGTAAAAACACTTTTAATGAGCCTTTAGCCAAGGTTCTGAGGTTTCTTTTAAGTGAAAATAAGTTAAAATAAATATAAAACGGGAAATGAAGGTTTCATCTTTAAAGCACTCGCGGACCACACAGAATACCATGGCAGGCCACATTTGGCCCGTGGGCCTTGACTTCCACAAAGAGTAGTGTAGTGCTAACACACAAAAAAAGCTGCTGTTTCCATTGGTTTTAAGAACTCAAAAGTTTCTGTCATCTGAAAGTACCTATAATTACATTTTGTGGAGAAAATGAATACTTTTGCTCGTTTTTCYAACTGTAATAGAACTAATACTTTATGTTTAAGCYAGTTATTCATGACATCCTTTAATRACYTAGGTTTTCATGACATTCTGTTCATCTGCAGACAGAATGATTAAAGTCAGAACAAGATCTGCTAACAACAGTCATTCTTAGATATCAYTTGTGTTTGTCTTTGTGTTTTCCATTGACCTTGTATCAAATCTTGCTAAGATGACATAATGGTGTTTGTTAATAGATATATGAGGCSTCTCRAGACACAGTGTTCAACAGTTCAACAGTAGTGTGGAGAGACAGTGACAGAGAKAAGCAGAGRCACARAGACAGRCCAGGTTGTTCTGTGTTTCCTGTTGTTGCMATAAAACTCAGCTGATCATCTCACAGAGTACCTTCATTCTTGGACCACGTATTTCTGTCTTTGTTAAATAAATTTTACCATAACACCAACCCTGACCAAATAAAAAAGCAATGTCCTTATATGAGACCTACAGTAGATTGGAATAAGTGCATCCAAAATAAAACAAAGTGAAATGCAAATCTCAGATTGAAGCTGCAAATAATCAGGCGAAGGAAACTCTGCAGCCAAGACCTTCATTTATGTGCAATAAAATATAGTGTGTTGGTTCATAAAGTGGATGAGGTGCAGTATTTTACATTAGATGAACAAGGGAACAGTTATAAAATGGCAATGCTTCATCTTGCCAAAAGGAACTGAGAAATATATTTTAACAAATATGCATAAATCAGCCTCTGCATCCAATCAGTGTTTCATTTAGGAGCAGATTTATTGCAATGATTTTAAGTTGGAAGCTGCTTTTTGAAAGCTTTTTATTTTTTTGTCTATATATATATGGAAGTCAGGAAGCTGATGTAGTAAATTAATGAGAGCAACAAAATCTTCACATGCATGAAAAAACAATGCATATATGATTAATTGTTAATTAAATGACACTTTTTCAAAAATTAGAGCTATCTTCAGCTGATGGTCTGAAGGAACTCAGTTTTTAGGTGAGCTTTCTGTGCTTTACCAGGACACCCCATGGATAAAAGCATGCTTGTGGTTCACAAAAGAGCTTCTGCTGCAGCCTGAGGAGGGGGAAGGGCATTACATTCCTCCACTGACCTGCTGTTTGCTGAAGATATTAAACAATAACTGCTCCGTTTTCAACAATTAAGAGAAGAATGGTGAGCTCTACCGACCCAGATGCTTTGTATTTACAGAAAAATGCATGAATGAAAATGCATTTTGAGTGGGAGGCTAGCAAACATTTAAGACAAGCATTTCACCTTGGAAGAATGATGGGATTCTGACTACCTTGAGAAGAGAATGTTCTTTCCTTGCTTAGCTTATCTCCGCAGGCTTATTGTCAAGTAAGTCTCACTGTTAACTGTACATAAATGTCTTTTAAAGAATAAATCACATTTTACCCCATTAAAAGTCTATGAAAACCTGCAGTGCCAAGCTCAGACAGCTGATGATTCATGGCACTAAAAGTCCTGAACTGGAASAAATATTTTAGCTAAAACTTAAAGCAGCTATAAACAGTAAATATCTTACCTGCTGTAAATACATGAGCTTTCTGAAAAGGGTCGAAGTCAACTCATCAGTGTGGTCTTTGTGCCATGAGGCAAGGTATCTGTTATGGAATAATTAAAACAGCTAATGTGAAAAAGTAAGCGAGTATCGTGGCTCGTTATTATGATGAAGTGATGCTCTGGTCATGGGATAGGGCACAACAACTTTGTATTTTATTTAAAAATGTGTTAGCAACAATCGCTGAGTTGATTCATCGTGTTTCGAAAACAAACTGAACATCTCACATTTAACGCTCCAAGTCAACGCAGCYGAGTTCTGCTCCACGCCTCTTTTGGTTCCACATTGCTCGCTTCATTTCTGAAAACTCACATTTGTGCCGAACGTGGCCCCATCAGTAGCTGTGTTTCCAYTGCAAATGTGCGCAAAACTTTGTCGATAYTCTGTTAATGTCGAAAAACACAGTTTCACAATTGTGGTGTTTCCATTAAGTAAGAAATGCTATTAAAGTCACGTGTGAATATGTTTGTTCKCACGATAAGTCATTACAAACATGGCGGCAATGGATGTAAACACATRGCATGTTGCTACCACGACACTAGCGCTCATCATCAGAGGAGACGTCGGCGTCTTTTATCGAGGCTTTTGAGTGACAWGYCCCTACTTGRGAGCGGCTACGTATGCTGTGTTTTTGGGAAATTGTAGAAGGTGGGTTTACTACTTTATGCTACTTCTGTGTTACTTCTACTTCCTGTTATCTTCTTCGTTGTCGTCTTTTTCACCARYAGAAWCAGCCGGTTGTTGATCACATGACTCCCGTGATGCGAAAAAAGTGTTTCCATTGCAGTTTTGCGAAAAACACCAATTTCGATACGGCTGAAAATCCACCTCATCCTAGCGCAAAAACATTTTGTCGAAAAACGTAATTTTTTTCGAAATTGACGTGTTTCCATGAGCAAATTTATTTTTGAAACTCCAATTTGCGCATTTTCATGGTCAATAGAAACGCAGATTTATGAGGAAATATAAAGTCAGGTTCTGCGCAGCCATTTTGTAAAAATATAAGGAGCTTGATTATTCTTCATAACTTTTCTAAAGCAACTAGACTTTAAAAAAAAATTGGAACCTCTTGAAACATCTTTTAATTACTGAAAAGGGAGAAAATGGGCCCAAGGAGTGGGAGGGGAGGAAGGCTCAGGAAGTCTGTGCTTCCCAGTGAAGTGTGACTGAAAGACAAAGAAACTTGTGGCAACAACTTCCGAACATCTGCACCATCAACCTTTATGACCCAAAAACAAAGATCTGAACCCTAAACTGCAGCTTTTCCCCCTCTCTCTCCTGATGTTTGACTCTGGGCCATGTGGGCAGGTGCAGAAAACACTGCAGGCTCTAACATGACCAACAAATATGCTGAGTCATTTAACGTGGCTGTTCAAACTTAAAGGAATGCAGATTTATTTTACGAATTCCAAGAAATGCTTTTTATTTAACATTTATTGATGAACCTTCACACAAACCTCAAAAAAGGCACAAAGAAGGAAAGATTGCATCAGGAAAAAAAAAAAAAGCCTCCCTGCTGGCAGAGGATCGCGCACAGACAGGGGGGGTTGGGTGCGCGCGCCGCGGCGCAAACTGGGAGGAGAAAAGSGGGGTTCAGGAACCGTCTTTGTCCTCACCCAGTAGTTCAGCTCACACGCAACTGGAGCAGCTCGGAACCTCCTCGATGGGAAAGAAGGAAAAACAAAACTGAATGGCTTGATCTCGAACGTGGAGGGCGCTTTGAGAAAGAGAAAACGGAGAAAAAGCTCCAAGAAAACCGACAACTTTAAGGAGACGAACTGAAGGTAAAAAAAAATAAAAAATGGCTCAAATACCAAAAGTGGCGGCGCAGGACGCCACATCACCGTTTTCTTTTAAACAAATAATGCTTTTTAGCCTCTGTTTGTAAACCTGAGTACTGTAAACTGAAAAGAACAGCCTAAGTTTTGTAATTAAGCAGCTAAAAAAWGCGTTAAGTGCGTAAATATGTGGTGAAACGCCAAGTTTACGCGCACRAGTTGCTGGCAATCTGAGCTGTTTAAAGCTCAAAAACAGCTCTGAAGATTTAAAACTTATMATTTATCGGTTCATTAGAACCAAATCAAGCCTTTTATTAGCTGTAGTGAGGTGGGATGCAACATTTCTATTGTTTAGTTAGTTTTTTTATATATATAAAGGAATGCGGTGCAG